AGACGTCTGTTTCTTTCTGTGTTTCTGTAATACTGAAAAACTGAACAATGTAGCGTAGTGTTATGGTCTGTGGGAAACTGAAAGAGAAACTGCATGTAATTACTGAAATGAGTGAGTGGTCTAAAGATCCCCCTTCAAAAAATTATAGTGGACTTGAGAGACATGTTCAGATAGGCGCCTTACAATGACCATGCCAATTATCGTGTCATAGTATACGCATATGGGGAAAGTCTGTGGCATAAAGCATCTTCTCATTGGTTGCTTGTGGAAGATGCTGACTCCAAGGAAAACAGGGTTTTCTTCTTGACTCTAAATTTGTTTTCTTCCTCCTTTCTTATCTTTTACTCTCTTTGGAAATAGGAGGTTCTGTTCCTTGCTAACCTGACGGTATTCCAGGGCCCTTGCGCAACTGAAAACAGTTTTCTTTTTGCACATTTTCTGTATTTTCTTGCAACTGCTTTTAATAGTTTATTCAAGTGAAATAGATTCAGTTTTTGGGAGAGAAAAGCTGATTTTCAGATGAAAACTTTGAACTCCTTGTTTTGAGCTTGTGTTTTCATTTCACTTCATTTCCCTGAACAGTATACTAGGTGTTTTAAACTGAGTGCTAGTGTCTACCAAGTATTTTTTTACAGTGAGTATAACTGTCCTTGTTAGTTCTTCAGTCACCAGTTTGTTCTTGCGAGTGTTCTTGTGTCTCTTTGTTGGACATGAGTGAGAAATGTCTCCCCAGAACAGCGGGAGAACCTGTCTGCCCTTGGAAAAGGGGTGGAGACAGATTGTAGGAAGGGCATTGAAGGACAGCTAATGCAAGGGATTGTACCTGTTTCCTTGCTGTGAAGTATGTAGATGTAAAAGTTTAAACCAACAGACTGAGTTTTGTACCTTTATTCAGGTAAGAAAGTCCAGCTGAAAACTTCCATCTTCATCACAGTTTTCTGTCTGTGTACGAGGATATGTTTGGGCTCAGACCTATGTATGTGTCCATATTAATCCATATGAAGATAAACTTTAGCCTAGCTATTGTGGTCTTAGTGGAGACTCAGCTTCACAATGTCACTGATCTTTCGCAGTTGAAATATAGCTTATTATTTTCTTTCTCTTTTCTAAGGGTGTTGTGAACTGCATTCATACGGAACATTGTCATGAAATCACAGAATGGTTTGAGTTGGAAGGGACCTTAGAGATCATCTGATTCCAGCCCTCACTAGACCAGGTTGCCCAAAGCCCTGTCCAGCCTGGCCTTGAACACTTCCAGGGGTGGGGCATCCATACCTTCTCTGCATAACTTGTTCCAGTGCCTCACAACCCTCACAGTAAAGAATTTCTTGTAATGTCCAATCTAAACGTACCCTCTTTCAGTTTAAAACTGTTGCCCCTTGTCCTGTTACTACAGGACTTGGCAAAAAGTCTGTCTTAGTAGCGCCTCTTATATATTGAAAGGCTTCTATAACATCTCCCCAGAGCCTTCTCTTCTCCAGGCTGAACAACCCCAGCTCTCTCAGCCTTGCTTCATAGGAGAGGTGCTCCAGCCCTCTGGTCATCTTAGTGGCCTTCCTCTGGACTCACTCTTAACGTGTTCATGTCTTGTCTTGTTCTGGGAACCCCAGAGCTGGACGCAGCGCTCCAGGTGGGGTCTCACTGAGTGGAGCAGAGGGGGAGAATCGCTCCCTCGACCTGCTGCTTGTTATGCAGCCCAGGATACGATTGGCTTTGGGCTGCAAACGCACATTACCAGCTCATGTTTCTTTTCTTCCGTAGGGTTGCTCTCATTGCATTCATCTCCAAGGCTGTATTGATATTGAGGATTGTCCCAGCCCATGCACAGGACCTCGTACTTGGCCTTGTTCAGCTTTGTGAGGTTTGCATGGGCCCACTCCTCCAGCCTGTCAGGGCCTCTCTGGATGGCATCCCTTCCCTCTAGTATGTCAGTGTATCCCTTCCCTCTAGCATATTAAAAGCAGTATTGTATTATAGCTAAGCGTTTGTTTAACAATTTGTGAGACTGTGGCCAATCTGTTCCATTTGGGTTGGCTCTGTACTGGGTCCTTCCAGTAAGTCTGATCAGCACTATGCTCCTCTTTTAAATGAGAGCACAGGAAAGTAGTTGCTTGGACTTCAGATTGGATGAATTGTTCTGGCATCCTGCAGTCTGTTTCCTGCTGTCCTTTTTTAGGGAAACTCCACAGCCCTTATCTGTAGTGCCTTTCACGCTTTACCATCCTCAGTCAGGTGTGCATTTGATCAGAGATGGCGTTGTCCTTGCATGAAGAGAGGAACAGCCACACATTGGTCACAGAACATAGGTGCATTCAGCATTGCTGAAAGAAATGATGTATTGCTGCTTTATAGTCTTATGTCTGTGAAATCTGTATGTGGAGCTATGTCAGTAGTGAGAGAAATGTTTGATTATTTTTACTTTTAGCGGGGCTTTCTTGAAATACCTCTATGAAAGGCTTCTTTGCAGAAATCTGAATGGCATCAGTTAGTGTTACAGAAGGGTTGAGGTTGGAAGACACCTCTGTAGGGTGTCTCTACTCCAACCCCTCCTGCTCAACCAGGACCACCTAGAGCAGGTTGCCAGGGACCATGTCAAGACGCCTTGTGAATATCTCCACGGACAGAGACTCCAACAACCTCCCTGGGCAACCCATGCCAGTGCTTGGTCAGCCTCACAGAGAAAAAATGTTTCCTGATGTTCAGAGAAAACCTCCTGTGTTTCACTTTGTTCCCATTGCCTCTGGTCCTGTCACTGGGCACCACTGGGAAGAGCCTGGCTCTGTCCTCTTTGCGGCCTTCATTCAGGTGTTTACGACCATTGAGAGATCCCCCTGAGCCTTCTCTTCTCCAGGCTGAACAGTCCCAGCCTTCCCAGCTGTTCCTCATAGGAGAGATGCTCTGGTCCCCTCATCATCTTCATGGCCCTTTGTTGCCCTCTCTCCGATACGTCCATGTCTCCCATGTACTGGAGAGCCCAGAGGTGGACACAGTGCTCCAGGTGTGGCCTCAGCAATGCTGAGTAGAGGGGAAGGATCACCTCCCTCAGGCTGTTAGCCATGGTCTTCCTTATGCAGCCCAGGATACCATTCACCCTCTTTGTTACAAGGGCATATTGCTGGCTCATGTTCAACTTGGTGTCCACCGGGACCCCCAGGTCCTCTTCTGCCACGCTGCTTTCCAGCTGGGTGGCTCCCAGCACGTACTGGTGCATGAGATTGTTCCCAGGTGTAAGACTTTGCACTTCCCCTTGCTGAACTTCAAGAGGTTCTTGTTGACATGTTTCTCCAGCCTGTTGAGGTCCCTCTGGGTGGCATCCCAGTAGAGGGTGAAAAATAACTTATGCTGTTGACATATCTGAAATAATTTTTTGCAGTGGCTTTTCTTGGCCTGATTTCTGAATTGCAGTAGAACTTTACATTGTGTTTGAAGGAGGTGACTTTATTTAGATAAGTTAATGCTATTTAAATGATCCACTATGGGGAAAAATCCCAAAGGAAAATACAGCTTTGAAGAGTCTGTCTTGGTGTCAGCGATGGGAACTAGGAGCTGTGTTCCAGCGTGGCTGGGCAAGGAGCTGAGAGGGGAAGGGAGGGATTACTGCAGGATGAGGAAAAGACACGTTCAGGGTGTGAAGAGGAACAAGAGAAGTACAGATGGAGCCATTTCAGAGTGGAAAAGAAGGAAGGGCTGTGGGAGCAGTCATAAGTCTGTAATAGCACAGTGCAGCGATTTTGTGTGAGAGTTGTAGAGAGAACAGGGATCTGAAAATTGCTAGGTAAAAGCATAATCTAGAAAAAGAAATACCTGATTGGGGCCAGATACTGTACAAATGTAAAATAATTTTGAAATTGAGTGATTGATTTTCATGCTTTAATGTAACAACATAACCGTGGATGGATTTCTGGAGCTAGATACAGGAGGATGAACTTTTTTGTCTTATTCATAGGAGGTGGCCTGTGTTTGTAGAGTAGGCAGACTGTTTATTTCACTTCTTAGTGTAGACTTCTAATTATCATTATTAACCAGAAAAATGTTCTACACTAGTCTTTCCTGTAATGTAATTGCAAAGGACATTTGTCTGCTGTTAGCTTTTAACAAGTGTCTGGAAATTATTTGTGGCAGGTTGAGAACATACAGAAGCTGACAATACAGAAACAAAATAGAATGGTATTAAGAGTGGCTCTGAGTCACTGCTAAATAAATAAACGGTAAATATCCTAACTTCTGCTGTTCAAACTATATACACTAATTGTCTTACAGTGTGAGAGTAGATACGTAGTGCAGAGTCTTTTATAGCTACTGTCTCACCAAATTGTTTGAGAACTGTGTTGTTTTAGAGGTCACTTTGTAGCACTAATTAACGTTGCTTTCCTCTTCCTGTATTTTAAGTTTTGTGTGATCCTGTCTCTGTGAAGCAGACATTCTTCACCCTTGGTATTAATTGATTCACTGAGTTGATCCCTTTTTCTCTGTGTTAGAAAGGCACTATATTACCTGTCTTATTTGTAGATAGGAAATATGTGTATCTTATGCAAGATTCCTTGGCCTGACTCAAAGACCAAGTTCTGGTCTGCATATGAAGCCCTGTTGTATGTGTCTTTTTTAACAGCTAATGCCAGAGAGAGGATTATGATTTGAAGATGAAACTTAGATTGAAATATTTGGGGTTTTGCTCCTGCTTTTTTGCTTGCTTTTATTTTTATATTTCATACATTTGAGCACAGTACATTCTATTTAATTTCTTTTCTGTTTCAGTTATGGTAACTTATATGTAATGCATAAGTTTTTGTGTCATGTGGTGATTTTATTTTGTAATTATGTTTGCAAGGTAAGTTATTTTTTAAAATATAGTTCAATATAGGTTCCACAGAGTATATGGAATATTTAATTCTGTACAAAAAAACCCCACCAACCACATTATACAGATTGCTCGTGACAGTTGTCAAACATCTCAAGGTTTTACTGCTGTGTATTAAATGCGTCTTTGGCGGTGTTTCAGGTATTTGGGACACAGTTGTTGATGGAAGAATTCATGTATAAGTACAAAATAAGAAGGGCAGTCTAATCTTCGAGGAAATGGCAGGATTCCTAGACAACTTCCGGTGGCCAGAATGTGAGTGTATTGACTGGAGTGAAAGAAGAAATACCATCGCTTCAATAGTTGCAGGTGTTCTGGTAAGTTTTGAGAGGATGTGAATCGTAACTGTGGTGACAACTTGAGAAGTACAACAAACAGCTATGGTTCTGTTTCCAGTTTTGTGAGGGTTTGCTCTTCAAATGCACCTTAATGCAGTATATTTCTTTAACTTCTTTAAAGTTTAATTGTTTGGCAGTCTTTTGACAAGCCATAGACCTGCATTTTGACTGATGATGATGTACCAGTTCTGCTATCTGTTCTTTAAAACAGATGGAAATTTCTCGTGGATTTTTGGTATAACTATGTCATACATAGTTTGTATCTCAAATATGTTTAGTATCTGGATTGTTAGTCTTAAAGCTGTACATGGAATTTGGCCATACACCAGTACTTAATTTGAATAGAAAATGTAGCCGATTCCCAAATGCTCCTCTGAAAACATTAGCATTTGCGTATCAAGCAGATTGAGTCTGACTTAAAGCTAATAACTTTCTAGAATAGTTTTTACTTGTCAGAAGACAACTAAATCATTGGTAAGCATGAATATTTGCCCGGTTTTGTCTGCCTGTCTCTGTACCCTTCCAGCCTCATAATGCTGGTCTGTTTTATTTCCAGTTTTTCACAGGTTGGTGGATAATGATAGATGCTGCCGTGGTTTACCCCAAGCCAGAACAAATGAACCACGCATTCCATACCTGTGGGGTGTTCTCAACACTAGCATTTTTCATGTAAGTGTACACAAAGGGAGTTCTTATAAAATAAACATGAGCTCTTAAACACAGTTTTTACTGGAGACTATGGTATATGATAAAACGGAATCACTTGGTTATAAATTACGAGTAATCTTGTATCTTTTTACATGGCAAGGTAAAGGCCTTTTTCTTCTACCTGCAGCCTTTGTTTCTGATCATAGTCTGTTTATTCATCATTCTGTCTGTCCCTCCGATCTGTTCAGGGTAAATTGCTTTTCTTATGAACTTTGAATGTAAGAAAGCAAACCTTCCTTTGTGCAAGTGGCTTTCCATAATAAGTGTTTAGATTCCTAGATCAAAATTCATGTAATACTGCTCAGTTGCTTACCTCATATTAAACACTTGGCTGCATTTTCCCATTTTAAAATAATTTTTACAGCTGTCTCTGGCCTAAAAGTCCCTCAAAGGGGGAGGTAGTAGTATTATAGCTGTTGGTATAAGGATGTAAATGTGGCAAACTTGAAGGAGAAGTAATGGCTTTTATTGAATCATACAATATTGGTGAGAAAAAAGGATGCATCTGGAGATGCAAGACCTTCTTGGGTATATTAAAGTTTCTGGGTTTTTTTTCTCAGCAGTGTAACTCATTTTAAGAAAATGTCACTCCTTACAGGGTGTTTCTCACTCGAATAGTTATGGTATTGTGAAGGAAAGCAACTTGTACTCTAATCATGAGAGCACTGTTACTGGCTGTTATTATCCCTGTGAAGTGGCTTTAGATATTTTAAAAACTTAAACCGCCAGAAAAGCAACCAAGAATATTTCAATCATTAAAATGGGCAATTCTTTCATCTTACAGGTCTGTTAAAGTAACAGTTTATGTAAAACTTATGAACAAATACAGGATTTGCTTGAAATTCAGTTGGAATCCTTCCATTAAGGGATGTGTAATAGTAAGACACTATACAGGCTGCCAAGTAATTTTCCCAGAATTTGTTGCATCTTAAAAGAAGCTGTTTTTTTACTTATAACTTCAAATTGATTTCCAATAATCTGAAATGTATACACTTTTTTTCTTCCTAGGATAAATGCTGTATCAAATGCACAGGTGAGAGGAGACAGCTACAGTGATGGATGTTTAGGAAGAACAGGTAAATTAACCGTAAAAATCACATTGAGTTGAAAGTTTGATTATTTAGGTGGTTTTTGTTTGTTTGTTGCTTTTTTTCCCCCAAAGTGGTAGTTAAACAAATAATCAGAAGTTAAGGAGTAGGAGAGAACTTCTGTGAAGTTACTGTTTTTACAAAATTAGCACTTGAAGATAAGTGCTGCCTTTGTTGAAAAGGTGAATTTAGAAAAATCTGGCTTCTTTATATCTTGAATACCTCAACTGTCCTCTGCAAATCCTGTATAGCTGCTGGGAGAAATACATTTCTGCCATGTAGTAGGCTGTGGAGCAGACATTCCTTACATTCTAAAATACTACATTCTTATCACAAACATTCTGCTTCCTCAGTATGCCACCTACTGCTTGGTGTCTGTGGACCTGCTGTCCTCTCTCTGCATTTGTTCATAATTCCCTTACTGTTTCCCATGTGGATCCCAGTGTCTGTTTTCATGGGGTTTGTAGAGTGCCTTGCCAGAAATCTGGTAGGATTTACTGATTTATTTTTTTTTAACTAGCGTATGATGCTTTTTTGTGTGTCGGTCATAAATCAGTCTGAGAGAATCTTTGCATAGAAGTATTTTTCCTTTCCCATGAGTGAGCAGGTTGATTATTTTCAACGGCATCATCTCCCTTTTTCAGCAGGTAATGTCTGGCTGTGGTAGATGTTGCCCATCTGAAAATACCTTCCCAAAGTAAATGCAGGAAGTGTTTGTTTTACGTACCCTACTGGAATGCCATCTTTACCTCACAACACTATAGCTTTTGCAAAGTACCTCATCATTAGTCCGCTCCAAGTTGTGTTAAGTGATGTTATATGCGTTCCCTACAGGTGAGGGGAAATTTCTGGTAGTTGTGTCTGCTCACAAAAATATGGGCAATCCAGCTACTATGTGTTATATCAAAGACTTGTCCTTGATAGAGGGTTTAACCCTTTCCCTTTGTGCCTTCAGCAAGATAACATTGTATCATAATAGAGGAACAGCTTGGGTTGTCTGTCACTATGGGTAATAGTCTACATGGTTCTCAGAGGTTTTAATATTTCCTGCAGGTGCTCGTATCTGGCTCTTCATTGGCTTTATGCTGATGTTTGGTTCACTTATTGCTTCAATGTGGATTCTTTTTGGAGCGTATGTTACACAGAGTAAGTTTGTTTATTTTCACATATAGAAAAATACTTTTGCTGTCAGTCAAAAAGCAGAACATCCAGAAGAGAAGTGTGTGGTCTGTTTTTGTCACAGCCATACCATCTAGTTTTGTAGTCAGAGAATGATACTGTGCATAGTGTTTTAAATACACCTTCCAGTACAAAAGAACTTAATATTTTCTTTGTTACTTACTTTGCAGACACTAATGTTTACCCTGGATTAGCAGTGTTTTTCCAAAATGCGTTGATATTTTTCAGGTAAGTTATCTGGACAAATTTCCCTCTTTCCAAAGGGGTATCTGACTTACCTGCTTCCATGCACATTTATACTCCTGGAAAATAAGTTCTTACAGCTGGAGGCTGACTTTAGGTTTGACCTTCTTAAATGTGGAGTTTGCTCTCAATGAAAGACCCTCCATATTTCAATTTATTACCTGCCCTGACCTTTACTTGAGGAGGGTGGTGTGTAAGACAAAGGAACCACTTGAGTAGTCACTGAGTAGACTGACAGAATCACGAAATATTAGGAGTTGGAAGGGACCTCAAAAGATCATCCAGTCCAACCCCCTGCCAGAGCAGGATCACCTAGACCAGGTCACACAGGAACGTATCCAGGCGGGTTTTGAATGTCTCCAGAGAAGGAGACTCCACAACCTCTCTGGGCAGCCTGGTCCAGTGCTCTGTCACCCTCACAGTGAAGAAGTTTTTCCTCATGTTCACATGACATTGTATGGAAAACAGATGCGATATTATTGATTGAATAAACTGATCAAACTATTTTTTAAAAACTTCTTTTCCGTACTCTGCTACTTTTTTTTCTATCCCCTGTGCTTAGAAACAATGTTTTGCTTTCTCCTTCTCAGCCTGTGAGAGGCTGTTGATTCCCTTCATGCTCCTGTTAGCCCAGCTCTTTCTGGTCTCACTGAATTTACAGCTCTAAAACGTGGGTGACCAAGGAGATAGAGAGTATTCTGGGTGAGATATTGTCAGTGTCTTTAGATAGCGGCAATAATGCTTTCACCTCTGTACTACAAATAACTTGGCATATATCCTAACAGCATTAGGTGGGAGATCCTATTGCTCTTTTCCTATTTCATACCAATCGCTTGTTTATCTGATAATTGATACATCTACATTCTACTGGGTGAGCTTGCAGTTATGAAGAGTCATAATCTTTTTTTCTAAGAGCATGATGGTACATTTTGTAATAATATTCTTAAACCAATTTCTTTTATTTCACTTAGTATCATGAAGTATATCATATAACACTTTGGAACTATCTGTAATAACTCTTTTTTATATCTGTAATGCATTCTGCAATCCATGAATTTTATTAATAAAAGGCAATGAAAGCATTAAATAGTTTAAGTTCCGAGATCAGTCTCTGAAAAAGTCATATAACCTCCTCTTTTGCAAGTTCTTACCCACTTAAGTTACTGTGCTAACAGTTTTCTTCTAGTACCATATCAAATGCTTTGCAGTAAGCTAGACCAACTGGCTCTCCTGTGCTTCCTTGTTTGGAAAATCAGTTACGTTCTTGCAAAAAATAGCAGTTCCTAAATCTCTTCTGTAATGTTGCACATGGTTGAAATGCCATACCAGTGAAGGCAGACTGGAGAAAAGTTTTACCATTCATGAAATCTTATTTCAGTAGTTTGATGAACTTATTTCAGAAGCTGCTTTCTTACTTTCTGTTGTACTCTATGTAGATATATTTTAGGTGTATTTGTTTTCTAGGTGTAAAGTATGAGACAAATTACAGCCTTTTTTTAAAAAAAAAAAAAAAAAAGTCTTTGATTTTAATCCCAGCGTGGACATTAGGCAGTCCCATCCATTGCCATAGGCTCCGTTCCTTAGACCAGCTCTGGGTCAGTCACCAATGAATTCTCAATGTCCTTATGCAAAACTTCTGTACTGATTGAATCAGATTCTCTTCCATCAGTGTTGTTCCATAATGTCCATATTTCCTGAACCATGCATCTCCTTCAGGACTTGCGCTTCAGCCCTGGTTGTTACTCCACCTGTTTTTCACTCGGTTCAACACACTGTATTGGCAGTCTCTAGTTAATGGCCCAGGTGTCTGGCTTGTTTTACTTAACATCGCTTGTGATTGTTGTTCTCAGTGCCAGGATTTCTCATTTCCCTCCCTCTTCATTCTCTTACGGTTTAGTGTGACTGCACTTCTTTACCGCTTGTTTGTGTGCTCTAAGACAAAAATATTTTAATAGATAAGGAACAGTAAGGAAATCATGCTGGGTTTTGTTCCCTCTGCTTTTCTTTTTTTGATTGATGACAATGTGTAACTGCATCCAACCTTATAAAAGGAATTTTGGAAATCAAATTGCAATTTGGATCTCACTTATCCATGACCGGATCAATATTCTTTCTGATTTGCTCATAAAAATTAATTGCTTAGATTCTATCCTAGCATGATGTGTTGCATTCAGCTAATTGCTGGATGCCAGGGTGAGACTTGCTGCTCTGCAACTCTGTGTATTGGTCCTAGAATCACTTAAATAACCAAATTTTTTCCTTCAGAAGGGCAGCTGCTTTTACTGTGAGACTGTTTTTTAATTTGAGCAGTTGCTTCAGCTGGGTCTCATAGTTTTGGCAATACATAGTAAATGAAATAGTAGTACAACCACCAGATAGTGACTTGAATAGAAGTTAAGGTTACTGAAGGGATGTTGATTTGCAACATAGATAGTTTAAGGTTATAAGGATACTACTAAAATTACCTTTTCCATCTTATCTATGGCCTGACTTTTTTTTCCCCCCCTTTTAGTACTCTGATCTACAAGTTTGGAAGAACAGAAGAGCTATGGGGATGAGAGATCACGTATAGCATTGTCTGTTCCATAATTGCTATGTTGTACTATGTATGTAGGTATATTTACATTTATTTGTTCTTGTTTTGCTTTCTAAATTGTATGAACTGAGACAAATTACAGTTTCTGTAATAAGCTCCCTCTTTTCACAGGACAGATTTGTGAATATGTACATATGACTGTATATATCTTAAAAAGGGAATGTCGGGCTTGATTTCTGAAATCTTCAGGCTTATTTCTCCAAATACATGGGTTTCCATCAACTCCTAAGACTTGATCTTCCAAACCTTGACATGTGTCAGAGACTCCAGTGGAACTGTTAGTGACCAAAGCCCGTACCTGGTCAAAGGGGTTAGGACTTTTCTGCACAGGTGAGCTAGAGCCAGTTGTGCAAGGGCTGTCAGCAAGGGCTGCCTGTGGAACCTGAAGGAGCAGGCAGCGCATGGAAGTGACCCAGCTAAGCCTGTATGTAACCAGGGTAAATGCTGTTATATGCTGAGGTAAGAGCTGATTTTAAGAATTTTGTATAACTGTTCAGAAAAATATAAAGTAGCTATTTTTTTGTAAAAGGTTATGAATTTTTAAACAAGGCTCTATATTAAGCAGGTTCTGCATGGCAAATCAAACCGTTCTTGACTTCTGATTGCTGTAGCACAAATGACATTTGGTTGCACCACAGCCCTTAGAATTAACTTCATGCTGCTCAGTGTAATAGATACCAATTAGTATTTAATGTATTTACTGATACTAGAAATTAAAAAAAACCTCCAGACTGATGCTGGTCACACTTAAGGAATCTACAGAATAAATGAGAGTCAGGCTAAGATCTTCAAAATTACCCTAGAGTCATTTTCTTCAGGGGAAGCTTTTTGCTGATAAATGAACAAGTTATCCTGCTACCTATTACTTTTTTTTTTTTTTTTAATTTAAAAGGCAAGCATTTCAAGCGGGGATATGGCAGATATATTTATTGCTAACAATCTTACCTTGAAATAATTGCCAGCTTTAGGACTGCCATTTGCCCCAGTTAAAATGTATTTATCTCTTAAATTTCATGGACACTTTATGGGAATGCCTCCATTATTGAAATCCAGTCTTTTTCTAGCTGGAGAAAGGGAGAACAATGATGTTTTATAGCTTTGGCCTGATCTTGTACATTCATCTTGCTGTTGGTGACTTCCTTATCTTACGAGTTCTATGTGGTTTTTAAAGCGTTTGGATCTACCTTGTGTCTAAAAGCTTTTCTAACTTTCCATGTATCATCAAGATCGCTGACCAAATGGTATTAAACTGCAGAATGTAACTTCTGTGCATGGTTACTGTAGACTGTTAGTCATCTAACTGCTCCCTTGTGGGAATCTCTCCAGTGGACAGAATATGAAGCAAATACTGCAGCTGAAATTGTGCTACTGGCTAGACTAACTTCATCCCGCTCTCACCATCCTGCAGTGAGTTACCATACGTTCACTGGTGTTAACGATAGCTTTGTTCATAAGTTGCCTGTTTGGTTGTAATTTCAGAAAACTGCAATAAACTTTATCTTCTGTTCTCAAAATAGCGAACTTCACAAGGTAATTGTACAGTAGGGCTCTACTTAATAGCTCAAGTAGCACTGACCTTTAAGCAAGTCTTTCTTACACCAGCTAAAAGTAAAACCAAGGTTTTTATTTTCAGGTCTGTTTCTTGCTTAGGAGCTTGGGCCTGTTTGTTGGCTTTTTTACTAAGTGAGAAACAAGAGTAGCCTATCGCCAATCACTCACAGTATCTCACATCGCACTTCAGCAGCACAAGCCAAGAGTTTGACCCTGGAGTGTGCGTGAATGCAAATTAAAAACCTAGATGTCTTAAGAGCAGGGCAAGAGCTTCTCTTTGAGGCTACCTGCATTTTCTACCAGAAGTTTGCTTTCTTGCAGTTATTTCTTGACCGTCCCTTCTGCATTTAGAGAACTGAGCTGGTCATGCTCTCTATACAGCTGCTATGAGGAGAAAAGAGACAACTTTGAGCAGGTGTCTTTTCTGGTATCCTAAGCTGAAAACAGGCGTAGTGTAGGAACCATGCAGGCTTAATTCAGAATATCCCGAGGTCCACTTTTACACCACAGGTAGTTCCAGCACAAGCCGAGGGGTACAGGGATGGCTCATTTTATGTAACACCTGGGCTTGCCACCGTTGACAGTTGTGAAGGTAACCCTCGAGTTACTCCTAACAAAGGCTTTTTAATTTTGGCCTACTTGTGTAACTGTAAAAATACTCATTAACAACTCTCTCTAACAGAAGTCGAGTGCAGGGCTCATTCAAGGCAGGGCTCAAGTTGTATGCTGTATTGCTAAATATTTACAGATGTTTTAATTGCCTTATTTATGTTCTCTATTATGCATTCTATTATGCACATGTGAGCCTGTGGTTCTTCATTTGTTTACAGCACAGTATATAAAAAAAACATAGATAAACTTAAAAGCAGGTATTATAAAGCTTGTGGCTGACTTGAAAATCCTTACCAGACTTGGAAAGTATGGCTATGTCTTCAGATAACTATGTTGTCTTGGCAAGTTGCCTAATGGCAAGTGATTAGTTCTACAAGTAAACAACCTCTTGAAAGAAAAAAAGTTAACTGTTTTTTCATGCTAGTCATGTTTATTCCTGGAAGGGGTGGCACAGCATTACCTCAGGGAGATAACCTGCAGCTCTGACAGTGACCAGGTTCATTAACAGACCTAAGTAACTTGAACACATCATTTACAAATAAACAAGCATATCTCTTTTTAAAAAAAAAAAACAAAAAAAACAACTTGTATTGAATCCAGGAAAAAAAAAGTCAAACAAATAAAGAACAATCATTTTAGTACAGAAGTGGTTCATTGGGTCTTTGTGCTTTATTAGACACCTTCCAGATCCCACAGGATTGTGATGTGAGGCTTAACTTATAGTTGTCCCTTCCAGTTTAAGGGACTCAAAACATGGCCCTCAGTCAACTTTTCATTTGCAGGACTGATCCGATGGTCCACAAGAGATTTTAGTGTCTGATAATTACTAATACATGTTATAGAAATTTTGAGCAAAATTATTATAAAGTTTGTTTTGCTGTGAAGAACAACCGTCTCACTGCAGGAGCAGAAGATTAATGCTTCTCATGAGTGTGTTAGGAGACAGATATGAAGAGGCCTTTCTTGGAGCAGTTCTTTGCACTGGTTCATGTTGAGAAGAGTGAAGTACTATAACATTTCTTTTTTTAGACTGCCATTTTTACCTTGAGGGAAGAAGCTGGCACACAAGACTGTATGCACTTTAAATGATTCTGAAAAGCATACTGGGGTGGATATAACATGCACTGAGTGTTAAGGCAGACTTCACAAATAAGGCAACAAAACAAAAGCCATTATAAAAGTTATTCACTCACTGAAAAATTCCAGGCTGTCCTACATCCTACCATAAAGTGCCATTATTTCTCAAAGCTTTATTCCAATTTGGGGTGGGAAATATGATGATGTTAATATAATTGTTTTATAACCATCTGTCTTTCTTAAGGCAATTTAGTGTTCATTTTCCTTTCCCATTCCACTTGTTAAGTCTCTTTGGCAGAACACAGTTGCTGCTGTAGCACAGCAGAAGCCGCTTAAACAAAGGCTCAGGGTCCACAGTATTGTCAGGAAGCAGCGTCTCACTCAGGACTCGTCCAGCGTGCATTGTCTGTCCTGCCAGCAGCCACACGGCCCTGCTCCTGGGTAGAAGCCTCTGCAAAGACGTGGTACAGGCACTTGCACTGAGGTGCTGCTTAAGTTACTTCACTTTCCCTGGAGATGCTGTCTGAAGGAGCTCAACCGTCCAAACTGCTGCCACCGGCTTGGCTTCCTGCTTCACCAAATACAACCGATAGGGAATCGTGGGGATCGTCCTCGGCATAATCGTCCAGCACCTCTAAAGCGGGCGTGCTTGGGTCTTTCAAATACTGGAGGAAGCCAGAAACAACATTTTAGATATCTATCCACAGAAGTGGTGTATTTATTAGAAATTGCAGATACAGAGCAGGTACCACGACCTATAGCCATGTTGCTTCAGACCAGAATTCACAGCAAGAGCTGCTAAATGTATATTCTGTTTGCTGAAACTACATTGAACAAGGAGAGAGTTAAAAATACCTTCAAAGCTACCTTATTTCTGTGGGGGAAAGAAAAGTAAACATCCATTTAAATGAGTTAAAACAATCGTATTTTTTTAAATAGATTTTGGGAAATACTGTTTTCATGTCAGTTCACGCAAATTCCTACTGGTTAAGAACAAACCACACAAGAAAACACTTCTTTATTACACTGCTGGGGACTTATCCTCCAACTGCAGGAATTAGCAACTGGCAGCTTGTCTGAAGCGCTGATAGAGCAAATGAGATCTAAGAATCTGGTTCCTTCAGTGTTGAGCAAGCCAAATCTGCACCTTTTAGTGCTACCAGAAATCTCTAGTGGTGGTCTTCTGTGTACTTAGTTTTTGCTTTGACTTCTCCTCTGCTCCCCCTTCTTCAAAAATTAAGTCATCAACTTTACAATGAAAGCATAATCAAAGAAAGGAGCATTAGGAAAAAATGTAGCCCAGAGAAAGTGCTGTCTGTTCCTCCTGCCACCCCTATATACTCTCCTTACCACTATAAGCTGATTTTGTGTTTCATGGAGAATTGGAGCCATCTACCACTTCATGTACTGAACCAGAAAACCAAAAAGAAAAAAAACAACTACTCTGCCATTGAACACCTTTTCCATGATTTAAAAAAAAATAATTAAAAATGCCTGGAATATAGACACCTTCACATTGTTAAAAGACTGACATAGCTCAAGTTTTACTCAAAAGCTTGTTCTGTACTGTAGGAAGTGTCATAGTCTGGCTGAGATGGGACCGTAGCTCAAGTCATGTCTGCTGTGGGACAAAATTAACCTTAGTTTCAATGAAGACACTGCTTTCTCTGTAAGCATAGCAAGGCTAATGAGCAACAGGATTCTTTTTTTCAGGTATATGAAAAACAAATGTCTCATACGGGGACCTCAAATACATCCACTTTAGCAAATTCAGAATAGAAAGGAACTTCAGTTTGGCTTTGCTATGTGAAGGCATTTCTGTGGTAGAACTGTTCCCTGACACTCATGAAAGCTGAGATCCTGCTGTAAAAGGAAGCATGTCATTCTTCCGAAAATCAAAGAGAAGACATGCGAAACTGCCTTAAAACAATCAGTATTCTATACTCATGGAGTGTTTTAAGAGAAGCCTCAGGCTGGTTGATCTTTTAGAAATACACATTTTAAAAATCCTGTGTATGCAGCATTTTTCCTTTATTTCTTATCAGTGTTCTGCCCAAAACCAGGCTCACCATTGTTCAGGAGTATTTACTTATGCTGCATGTTTTCCAGATTAATACAACTACTCCAGAACACGTGATGATAGACCCTATTCTTGCAAGTCCTTTGCATGAAACGCTGCACTCTTTTAGCACATTGCACAAGGATTTTTTTTCCCTATGTGAGATATACTTCACTTGACACGTGATGCAGCTCAGTGTCTCCAGTGAGCCCCCTGGAAACGGGAGCTGAGGTAGCACTAAGAAAATTATGTACTCGGGACTCTGCACAAAATCTGGATTCATTCACCCATAGAAAAACCTGGAAAGACAGCTCCACAATCACAGAACTACCCTAGTACAATGGGCTACTCTAACACACGGATATGTACAAAGAAATACACCTCGAAGAACTGCAAACAGATACAAGCTTTTAAAAATATGGAATGTAATGCTGAACACCAACTTTCAAAGCAAGAACTTCACTTGCAAGACTACTTCCTGTTTAAATACTAAAAAGAGGAAGATGAACAGGACTGAAACAGTATCATTTAGTACAGAAATGCGTGGGCTACAAGGAGAGAAAAGTCCCAGGATGACCTTTTCATCTGCGTATTGCTACAACTACAGGAAGGAAAAAAACCCAAGAACATTCCCCTAGGGAGCCCTTAGTCTTGAAGTCAGTCCTCGAACACAATCAGTGTTTGCTTTTCCACATTTGATCTCTAATCAGAGACCCAGGTCCCAAGTACATGTTCTTCTGCAGCACACAAAAGCTTTTTGCTTCAGGTGAGCAACTGTTTCAGGGCTGACGGCTTCAATAAGCAAGGAAAGGGGAGGACAAGGGGTAGTCAAGGAACAGAATCACACTCCAGTTTTATAACAGGATTATAGCAGCATTTGTATCTTCACACAGAGGAAAAAATAATTCAGTTGAATGCAAGAGGAATAAAGTGGGAGATCAGAGCTGAGAAAAGTAACCGTTTAACTAAGTCAACAATTATTTTTACCTATTTCTGTTATACCACAGCTAGCTTTGTTCATATTAACTGATCATCATATTCATGTTCAGGATCATCACTGTCTTTGTCTATGCAGAAATAGAAAATGTCTACACATACCTCTTCAAAGTGGGATGGGATTTCTAAAGGCGGCCGAGACCAATATTTAAGTGTATTTAAGTGGTGTTTCCACAGAAAAAGCAAGCCAACTGTTAAGAGAATTCCAAAGAGTAACACCAACACAAATATTAGTATAATATATCCAGCTCTGGTTGCCTCTGAAAAAGAAGAAACAAACACACATATGGTAGGTTCATATTTATACATCATCAAATGTAAAATGATACACAACAAGCTGAAATTTACTATACTTGGTAATCAAGGTATGATTTCTAAGGCTACGATCACAACCCTACTATAGATGCTGTCTAAAGCCCTGTGTTCAGAAGTAGCTTGTTTTGAGGTTCCCTCTGGAAGTCAGCAGCTCCCAGGAGCTCCTTCCCCTTCATCACGTGGCCCAAGGCGAGCTTCTACTTGACACGCAACGAGGGCAAATGCAGTGCTGGAGGAGTGGCTGCTGGCAGGCACAGGGCAGGTGAGGAACACAACCTGTCCTTCCACCCTCGAGCTGTGAGCAAGGGCTGGTAATGCCGGGGCTGCTCTTTCAGAAGACACATCTCCCTTCAGCAAAGAGAGCATCACAGACTCCACAGCTCAGCAGCTTGTGGTCAAGTATTCATCTAGTGACAGGATGAGAGGAGATGGCCTCAAGTTGCACCAGGGAAGGTTTAGACTGGATATTAGGAAAGACTTCTTTACTGAAAGAGTGGTCAAACACTGGAACAGGCTGCCCAGAAAAGTGGTGTAGTCACCATCCCTGGAGGTGTTCAATAAATGTGTAGATGTGGCACTTCAGGACATGGTTTAGTGGGCATGGTGGTGCTAGGTTGATGATCTTAGAGGTCTTTTCCAGCCTTAATGATCCTATGATTTTAACAAGGCCGATACTACCCAGGAGGTCAGTTCCTGTGGGGCCTCGAACTGCATAAGCAGGTTTTGTCTACACATCTTCCAGGGTGTTTAAAGCATGCTAAAGATCGGTTGTGCCTGTGTGTTGGTGGTCAGACAGAGAGATTCAGGAGAGGGACAACCTCTGTTATCTTGTCCATGCCCTCTCCTCCCCTCACCCTCTCTTATCTCGTACAAAAACATGGTGCTTGAAATATCAGAGAAGGAAGCAGGTCAAAGAGGAAAGGGACGTTCCTGTCCAGCAGAAGGCATGGCTGAGGGGTAACACTAGCTCCTCCTTCAATGACTTCCTCTGAAGACCACATCTTTGTATTTTCTTTCTTTGCATATTTCTAGAAAGTAACACCCATAGAAGTATTTCTTATGAAGGAAAAGGAGAGAGGGGAAGAGTGCAACACAGACCCTCAACAACTGACTGAAAAAGTCTGTTATTTTGCCATTAATGACAACTGGTGGTGCTCTCTTAGCACTCCTGACAAATAGGGGTGTGTAACTGACCAGTTACACGATCTAAGTCTCGTGTTCTACACTCATCCCATTATACACAAAAAAGTAACAAAATCGGATTTCTACCACTGATTGTAGTTCTGTGACACTCCGGGGCACTTTGTAGTCCAAGTAACCAGTGATCTGAATGTGTCTCCAATTCTGCTTGAATTGTAAAACAATAAAGTGTCAATTCCTTTAGGTGGCTGATTTTGAATAGTGTATTTCTCGTTTGTATCTTCTGTTTAAAAGACAAAAAAATACATAGATGTTACTGTAAATACAGACCTGTCTTCATCACAAATCCCCTTCCCCATATTTAAGTTTCGCATTAAAAAAGCATAGATTTTATTTTTCATCATTCAGCTTTCCCAAACAAAAGCAGCAGTGAAATATATTTCAACTTCCCTACTTGGATGCATGTGAAATGTCATTATTTTTAAATTCAATTAAGCCTGACCATTTAAAACCATCGAAAAGGGCGTTTTGATGCAGTTTCCGTAAGAGCTCAAGCAGTGAGCGCAATATAGGAAGGGGGAGAGAAAAGCAAGCCAGGAGAAGTACCTGCACCATCAGAGAAGGCTGACGGAAGTGGAGTTCAGTGAGGAGCTTCCACCACCTCAGCTCCTTCTACTGAAGAGGAAAGCAGCTGATGAGCAGTGCAAAACCTCTGGAGTCTCCACAAGGCCAGCACTCTTTTGGGAATTTTTAACCAGTAAAGGGCTAGGATAACAGCCCCGGTGAAGCCTACAGAAGCATCCAAGAGTGACTTCTTGTTTGAATCTCAAAAATGAAGGTATTTTATGTGTCAGAAAAATACACACTGGTGCAAGAGAGGAAGGAAATGGAGGCATTGCAGATTTAGCAAAGTCTTTGAAACAAAAGGGTTTTTTTTTTAAAAAATTCAGCTTCTGTTTTTTAAGTGTTTGACTTGAGAATGACTTTTTTTTATTCTTCTCCTTTTTTAAAAAAGCCTTTTTTTTTTTAAGTTTAGCTTAATCCCTCCCCTGCAACGCTGGCCTGTCAAGAACACAAGTACCATGGCCCCAGGCAGCAGCATAAATGCGCAATGAGACCCACACCTCTAAGTCTCCAAACAAGCAGGGACAGCTCATCCCAGCTGTGCACAGCATGTTTTGAGTAACTTTGTCTTTCTCTGGTGACATCAGGCCAGAGCAGGCTGGTACTGGAGCTGCCAGCACAAACAGGAAAGGAGGAAAGATATTTCAGAGTTTTCCAAACTGCCTAAGCAAACGTGGGAACCTAAATGCCATTTTAAAGCCACCTTTGACACTTTGTGGATTCTCTCCCTTGATCTGCAATTTGATTTAACATTCATTTCACATGGAGGAAAAAAAATATGTTTTTGAAAGTTTCATAATACAGTACTTGTGCCAAGACCAAATGAATGTTTTTTCAAGACACCAAATGATGACCCTTCAGTACTAGAGAAAAAAATTACGTTCATTTTCTTCCCCCATGTCTGCTGTTTTGCCAAAAGACACTGACTCATCTCTTAGTCACAAAGGCATAAAGAACAAAATCAATTAAGAGAGAATTCTTACTCTTTCAGTAGTACTTGTTGCATTCTCCCAGTAGGACACATGATACTGAAAAGAATAACCTGCTTCAGGTTCAAAAGGGGGGGTGACACTAACAAGAAGCGAGTCAGAGCTTTCAGTCACACTGTTCACTTTAGGGGGCCCAACAGTAGCTGAAAATAAATACAGAAAGAGCAGTGAACCTCTGGAATGCAGAACAGCTCATCATAATGTCTCCAGCTTTTGTTAGATACTTTCAGCGAACACAGAAATATCAAGCTCAGCAAACACTAAATATCAACAGCTTGTTCTCAAGAAAGGGAACACAATGAGATTCTCTCATCTACTTAAATGCATTTAAGATAACTACTTTATTACAAATCTAAGGAAAAAGACTTGAAAGAATAAGTGAAATTAGATAATTAAAAAAAAAAAACTCAAAATTTTCATGTTAACTTTCCCTGGAAATTCAGTAACTATTCACTAGACTGTATCTGAATGCAGCTAAGGGTAATACAATTTAGTTCTTTTTTTTTCTTCATATAGCCTGCCAAGTATTCCATGTTCACTAACAGACACAGGTTGGGACAATAGATTGCAAGGGGAATAACTAGCTTCCCCTTCCTTGCTCTGATGGCTTCATCCGTCCTACAGGGTAAAGATGATGACTTCCTTTTGTGAAGTACTCTGAGGTCTAAGTCACGTAAAATATAAAGTCCTGTCAGTCCTAATACAAAAGACTTGTGTGATCACAGGTCACATATGGTCATTAGTCATTTATCTTTTGTATCTTAACTTCTTTCACCAGTTAAGCTTATAGCATTTGTAAAGCGTTCCAGAATCCCAAAAAACCCACTCATGCAAATATTAGAGTAGCTAACAGCTGCTTGCATACTACAGAGGGGTAACTATTAACAGTAAAAATCAACCCTTGCAAGCAATCATTGCTTATTGTACCTCAAAAAACCCAGCAGAACCTGCTCTGTCCACTGCCACCTTAGAGAAAAATTTGCCCCCGTGATCTTTGCATTGGTAGGGAAATTTCAGAGGTTTTTCTACTTCCTGTTGCTGTACCAACTGCAAATGCCTTGTTGTGTGTTCTCTGAAATCACAAAGAGCACGTACTGCTTCTCTCTGCCACGAATGGATCCGTTTCCACCCAGTCAGAAGTCACTTGCCCCAGCTCAGCCCGCACGCGCAAAACAACCGTCCAGCGCGGCTCCCTCAGCGACGAGGGGAAGCTGCACTGGGTCTGGGTGATACGGGTGCAGTTCATCTCATCCCACTTGTTAAAGCCTCCTCTGCAATGCAAAACGTGAGACAAATAAAGCATCAGCAGAACAGTGCAACTCCCTCAAATACAATCCCTCCCACCTAGGCAATTTGTGTAACAGAAGAATGTGTTACAAAACTACCGCTTTCACGTGGCTTTACTCCACGGCCATTTCGGCACCTGCATCTCCTCAGTATGAGGGACAAATAAAAATTAGTGAAAGATAATTTGGTAAGGCTAAAATAGTAGAGGAAATTATGCAACAGCTCTGGGTGCTTGTCAGGTCTTCAATCTTTTCTCCGTTTAGTGAATATATCACAGGCTAAAAGATTGTCAGTCTTCAGAGGCTGCTGTCAGATATACATAAAAGCACCTATAATAAACAACTCCTTAATTTTTATGCTTCTTATTTTTAAACCAATTGTGGTACTGGATTACAGCAAAATCAGTGTGGCTGTTTTTACAACTATTTACTTACGTTTTATAATGGACTGTGTATAACACCAAGCTTCTATCCACTTCAACAGGAGACCACCTCAGCAAACTACGAAAGTTATAGGAATGAACCATCACATCTTTTGGTGCCGGTAAATGGGGAGAAGATTCTAAAGTAACAAGAGGAATAAAAACAAGTATTGAAACATGCAAGTACACAGTAACTAACTTCTGGTCTCCAAATTCCATCACTATATATTACATTTTCGCTGCTTTGCAAGCAAAACCGTTCCTCATTTTCATTCCATTTTTGGTGCATTAGTAGCCATACATTTAAGTCGCTGCAATCCACAAAGCACTGAATTGCAACTTGCTGCTTTTCTTTATTCCATACAGAACACAGCACTGAAAGTACAGAGCCCAGCACAAAACAAAAACCCCCACCCAGCTCCCCTGTGACACTATAAATTAAGGTCCACAGCCACTTGTCATCTATTTCAATTGTCTGAGTCTCACATTTTACTGTGCTAACAACTCAAATATGTATTTTTCCTGACCATCTGCCTCCTGCTAACTTGTTTGAAAACACCAGGGTCACCTCACTAAAACTTTCCAGGAAACAGGTGAAAAAGTCTTCTTAAACATTCCCAAACACACACTGCACCCTTTCACTTGCCAGCCTGAAGCTTTGTCAGTTTTGAAGCCAATTTCACAACGTAGAAAAGGACAGAAAACCCCATTAGAGGCGTGCCTTCTGCTAGTAGGAACGTCCACCCAAATTCGGTCAGGTCATAACCTCCTGGGGGTGAACAAAGACTGCAAGCTCTCCCGAGCAGCTTGTCAGGAGGCGAGCAACACAGGCGCGGGGAGCAAAGAGTTATATCCCTAGCACAGGAGAAGAACCACTTCCTTGCTGGCCCAAGCAGGGTGGAGGAGGAAGACGTCTTTTGGGACTGGAGGCACCGAGCTCGGGGTGGAGGGGTAATAAAATCAAGTGGAGGAGGGGAGGGAGAAAAGGCAGCCAAGCAAAAGGCAGAAAAGCAAGGGCTGGGGAAATCAGGATGAGTAAGTAAAGTAAAGAAAGCCAGATGAGAAGTGGGGGAGCAGCTGGCAAACATGGCAACACAGCAGGCTGGAGAACCAAAAAACACTGAAAGGAGGAGGAGCCAAACGGCAAGGAATTGGGACAGCCAAAAGAAAGAGACCAAGATTACTGCAAGTAGGCTGAGGTGAGGAGGACAGGAAAACACCGTTATTAAGTGTCTTTAAAACCAGAAAAGCCTCACAGTTTTAACCACAGCACAGCAGTCACTCAGGCAGGAAGGGCTCTCGGGACGTCTCCAGTCCCAGCCCCTGCCCCAAGCATCAGCCCAGGCTGCTCGGGGCTTTCTCCAGACAGGGCCCAGACCCTGCAAGGACAGAGCCTGCACAGCCTTGCTGGGCAATGGCTCCACTGCCTGCCTGTCCCAAAAGGGAGAAAGGTTTTCCTTCCTTCTACACTTGTCCATGTAGTGATCCTCTTCATCATTAAACACACTGCGTCAACATGTCCTCTGCTCAAAGATAACCATGACGTGCTATGATAACTCATATGGCAAGGTTTCAATTTTCTGTTCTTAAGACAGTAGTCTGCTAAGATACACTTCATTTATTTTTACATAAATAAGATCAGAAGATCAAGCACTTAAGCTAAATTCTGTCCCTATCTTTCTTTGGGAATATGGGGATAATTTAGAAAGCTTTTTCTTTCCGACTTCTGCACCTGACTTTGTTCCACGGCACTAGACAGTGCGCTGATGCTGACAGCGCTGTCTTTCAGAAAAGATGTCACGCCAAGCTCTTAACATTCTCCATGTACAGGAAGGAGATGACACAAATCTTCACAAAGTTGCATTAAACCCTAAGTCCATATTACAAAATAACTAGTTAAGCTCTTATGACTCTTATGACTCATGTTGACTAGTTTCTTAGCTGCAACTTTTGAGTAGTAATCTTAAGTAAACACACATCACCTTAGGCTTCAGATGGATCATTCAGCGTTGCAAACCTGTCTGAGCTTCTTTACAGTTAAATACCTACACTATTAATCTCTCGCGTATTTTCAAGGCCATTAAGTAACCTTTTCCTCATTCAGGAAAAGTTTTCACTTTCCAGTCACGCAGAATCTTTCTCACACTCTCACTGCTGGTCTGGCATGTGGCAAGGTATCTCACACCATCAGTAATCTGTGCACTCAAACATCCGATACAAACTAATTTTACAAAATTCAAGAAAGCTGTCAGACTGAAACACAAGCACTAGCACTTTTTTCTTCTCTTCTCTCTCTCTTAAAAAAGAAACAGGAAAAGCAATGAAGGCTGAGGACAGCTGGTTCATCTTTTCCTCTGTCAAGACTGCACACTGATTATTTTGCCTTATGTTAGCATTTAGAAACAGATCATTTCCCCTAGGAGCTTCAGAAACACTGAAGGAATTATCAGTTCTACAGCTCTGTAGCCGAACATCAAGGTGCTGTGCGCCACAAGGCACTGAGGAGCTGTTTCTGTAGCACACCAGAGGAATGCAGTTGTATTTTGGTGAGATGTCTCAACTTGACAAAGGAAGTCACTTAAGTGTCTGAAATCACACATTGAACTCCATAACAACCATTAGTTTGTATGGCCCGAAGTAAAAAAACGCACACTTCAGAAAAAAGCACGCACATATGCAAATATGCTAAAAAAACCCAAACTACCCTAGCCAGGTAAAGGCAGAAATACCTTTCTCTCTGGAAGGTGGTCTCGCTGAACCAGTTCTTTTAAAGCATCTGCCAAACCACACTCAGATTGTTTTTTCCTGATGCAGAGACTTCCTGGCTCTTCAAGCCACGAGTCAAAGCTTTCACGCAGCAGAGTGTGAAGCCACAAGTTACAATGAGTGAAAGCAGCTCAGCCTGGCCTAGCCACCAGTTCCACAGCCTCTGCTCCTGAATTATTTCTGATCCCTTTCCTTGCATCAACCTTAGAACACATCTTTTTGCTAAACGACCAAAAAGAAGCCGGGGGTGGGGGAGGGTTTTGGAAGGACTTTTGCTGTTTTGCTGTACCGAACTCACTTCTCATATTGTCAGATAAGCACCAAAGCCTGCAAAAGGTGAATAGCAGAAGCAGGGGGCCAGGTGTCAACAGTTGGCTATTCTTTTGGCCCAGATTTCAAAATGTAGCACCTCCATTTACGAGAAAAGAAACACAGCCTGGCCTGCCTATGAGAAAGGGAGCGCACAGGGGGAGGACGCCATACACACAAGACAAACACCAGAACAGCTGGGAAATCCCACTGCTCCTGATGGGATGGGACTGGGCAACACTGACTGTAGCAGGTTCCCCCCCCAGCTCGCCTCAACCTGGCCATGGGCATTTGGACTCCCAAGTCCTGTCACAGGCTGCAGGGCTGCAACGGGCAGCTGCCCAAAACCAGCCAGAAAGTCCCATGGGGCTCACCAGTCACAGGCTTGATGAACATGAGGAAACGTGACAGCAGACATACTGAATTCATGGAGGTACCTGTGTGTCTGGATAAGGACCATGCCGTATGCATATCTCATTCAAGGTAAGTCACAGCAGCTCTTGTTGTGATTAAAACTCGTGAGCTACAGCTCAGACCCGACCTGATGAGCAATTTCCACCCCGCATTACGGTAAAGTCTTTACATCCAAGTCCAAATCTAACCCTACCTAAACCGTCAGTTCACAAAATTAAACGGAGGAGGCTCAAGTCCAGCTGATGAATAGGTGCCACATCATGTACTACAGACACATCAGCGATTTACATGGATCCAATGTCCGTCAAG